GAGTGGGAAGTGGTTGCCCCCTCAGTTCTCAGAGCTTTTCACAGTGGTTGTTAACCTTAAAATCAGTGCAGTACTCAAGTCACTGAAGCAGAGACTGCTATAGAAAAGTCCAGAAGGAAACTAATTCTGGTGCCAGAGACAGGTTTGAACAAGCAGCATCACATGCTGGGCAGCGAGCAGTGACAGAGCTTTGCACCAAGACAATGAGACTCCACATATCCACTTGCTTCTTGCCCTCCTCCCTTCCCTGCACAGCTTTCCTTGGTCTCTGCTTCTTTCCCTGCTTTGTGCCCATGGGAGCACAAGAGATGGGATCTCTAGACTCTCACCCAGGGAATGCCCAGGGAGCAGGGGGCGGGCAGGCTCCACTGCTTGCAGAGGTCCTGCCTGTGATGTGGTGAGGACCACAGCTCCCTCCTTCAGGGGGCCTTTGGAGCTCTGGAACTGCCACAAGAGGGTCTGCAAAAGGTAGAATGGCAGAATGGTTGGGATTGGAAAGGACCCTAAGATCATCCAGTTCCAACCTTCTGCCATGGGCAAGGACACCTCACAGAGACCATGTCACCCAAGGCTCTGTCCAACCTGGCCTTGAACACTCCCAGGGTTAGGGCATCTACAACTCGCTTGGGAAGCCTGTTCCAGTAGATTTAAGCCTATTACCAAGTCTGGACATTGTCTATACTTCGAATAAGAAAAAAAACTGTCAGGGCCAGAAATCTGGAGAAGGTTGAAGATCGGTTTGGGAACTTGCTGTATAAAACCTCATTAATACCTGCCCTCTCTCCCCACCCCATGCTTGAAATGTTGCTAAATTTGATGTGTAGATGAAACAATGATGTTTCTTTTTCTTAGTCTTCAGCTGGGAAGCATTTGGACTCTCCCTCTTCCCCACACAAAAGCTGTCTCAGCCAGAGCAAGCATAAATATTTTTGTCAGACTTAAATTACTTGGGATGAAGTTAAAAGCAAGGGAAAAGAGCGGCCTTTGTTATGGGGAGGGCTGGACTGCTGCAGCAGGCAGTGCTACTGGTTTCACCTGTATTATTTAGTCTTTCCATATTAGTAAACCTGTGTTTGATGAGATGTGGGAACGCTCTGCCCTTACCACCATTGCTGCTGTTATGGCCAGACTCCGCTGACTTTGGTCACTGAGCATCATGACCCTTAAGCCTTAACTGAGGTTAGGGTTTGGTTTCCTGGTGTGAATAGCTACAGTAGCAAAAGGGCAGTTTTGACCAAGAGAACTTCCTCTGTTCAGGCTGAAAAAAAACATAATTCTGGCAAATTCATGCAACCTGAAGATGTTGTCACTTCCAGTTTCCATCCTGACTCTCTTCCAGAGGCTGATGCCTGTAGAAGATGCTGGGAGAAGAGGGTGGGTGCATGCTTCCTGATCTACTCCTGTAAAATCAGCTGGGGTAGCCTAGGCTGTCAGTGTGACCCAGAATGAATTCAGCTGAGCCAGATGGTGATGGACTTGGGGATGTCTGGCCTAACCCTTCTGCCAGCAGAGCTTTGGGGTAGGTAACCTCTGGAAGCGGTGTGCCCAGGGGCAGCTGGACATGAGAGAGTCTTGAAGGGTACCAGATTATCCTAAGGAAGCTGACTTCTTTCAGCCTTAATCATAGAATCACAGAATGGTTTGGGTTTGAAAGGACCTTAAGACCACCTGGTTCCAACCCCCCTGCCATGGGCAGGGATGCCTCACACTAGACAATGTCCCCCAAGGCTCTGTCCAACCTGGCCTTGAACACCGACAGGGATGGACCATTTACCACTTCTTTGGGCAACCCATTCCAGTGCCTCACCACCCTTACAGTAAAGAACTTCTTCCTTATATCTAACCTAAACTTCCCCTGTTTAAGTTTAAACCCATTACCCCTTGTCCTATCACTACAGTCCCTAAAGAAGAGTCCCTTCCCAGCATCCTTATGGGCCCTCTTCAGATACTGGAAGGTAATTCATCTAAGAAATTATCTGGTGACAGTAAACTTCATCTGCAGAGCCAGAGGTCTTGCAGGGCAGAGCATCCTGGTCAGGACTTCAAAAGGAGGCACCTGGCCACTGGCCATGTTATTTTTAAGCTTGGAAAGCACGTGGTCTGCAAGAGCGTAGCACTAAGGAAAGGAACTCACCAGCGCTTCCTGCCCCGCCCTGGCAGGCTGATAAAGCCCTGTGCAATGCATGGTAACACCAGTTTATTTTTAAAATGTGGCCAGGCATGGAGCTCACTGAATAACTGGAACGCCCAGCTTTGGGCACTAATTCACCTTTCATTCATTGCGTGATGAATCAAAGAGTTAATATAAATGTAAAAAGGACAAGAAAGGCCTACAGACCATCTCCAGAGCAGTATCTGCATAAGGGCATTCATCTGTGCATGCATATGGGATCTAAGAAAAAGAGTAGTTAGTAAATGTTACACAAGGGAGGGGCACATAGTGTTATCCTGAGCACTGTGTGAATTTTCTTGCTGCTTGGACAATGCACCTCAATCCTGTTCCTTTGTTATTCCAATACCAGCCCTCTTCTAAGCAAAGCTATTTGCATGCCGGAGGGTATGGTTCCCATGTACAGTAAGGGCTTACATGGAGGAAATCAAATGAAAGCCAGCAGTTTGTTGTGCAGTAATGACAACAAGGCCCACTGGGGTGGATCTGGCTTTACTGCATGCCCTTTGGAGACATAAATGTGATTGCCAGAGATGTTTTCCATCTTGCCCCGATGCCAGGACAGCAGGGTTGCTGTGGAACCAAAACACACCAGGAAGGAGCTATTGCAGGAGGAGAGAATTATAGCCCTCGGCACTTGGTGCCTCACCATCTCTTGGCTCTCTGTGAAACAGCCTCATTCCCACAGCAGGATGAACTGGTTTGTTAGGAATGAGATTATAACTTCTGGTCTGATTGATAAGGTATTTTATTGATAGACTTTATTTCTGTAACAGAAGCCCTTCTCTCAAACACACTTCTGAAGCATTAAAAAGCAGCTGCATTAAATGTCAAAGAAGAAATACTTGTCAATATCTTGTCCTCCTGGTCTCTCCCCTGTGCTAGGACTGAGGGCTGATGTTCCTAGAAAGAGGGTGAACTTGCCATGTGTCAGCAGTGGGTGACAGCCTCAGATTGTCCTGTTCTGAGGAGGCACTTGATGGCAATGCCAGCTCTCCAGAAACAGAAATGCCACCTGGGAGGAAACAGCCCGGGCTTTAACCTAGGCACTTTCTGTTCCAGATCCCAGCAATGGGACCATGTCCCGGAAAGCAGGGAATTAAATCCTTTCTCCATGATCCCTGTGGCATGGAAAACTTTATGAAGTGAGAGGTACAAGCAGCAGAGCCAGTAAGCACACAAAGCAACTCCAAAACACCACTGCAGTCTTGGTCATGCCAAGGGCCTGTGCATGGAGTGATACGTGGGACTGTTGCTGGCACACAGCTGTCTGCAGCAAGCACCATGTGTCTCACAGCCACGCTGAGGTCACTTCAAATAGGAGTGAGCTTGGCTGCAAGCACAGCTGCTAAAGGGGTGTATGGGAGAGATGGCTTAGATCAAAGCCATGGTGTTTACCAGTGTCTTCTGAAGATCAATAAACAACCCAATGCTTTTAAAACCACTGGGGTAAAGGAAACCCTTTCCAGTTCAGCAGTCTTTCTGTTTCTGACCTTTCCCCATGGTCATGAGGCATCCTGGGGGCCCAGAAAGTTTGCCACAGCCTGATCCTGGTGGTGCAGAAAGGCAGGAAGAGCTTTGCCTGTAGTACCTGCGTAGAAGCACAAACCCATGGATAGGCTTGTTATCACCCAGGTGCACATCACCAGCACTGGCAGTGAAGTTTGCTTCTATACAAGAAGGTTGTGTGGGTCCCCACATATGCATAACATGGAAGGTGGCCAGGCCAGCCCTGACTGTGCTGTTGCCATGTCTGCAATATTTGCTTTACCTTGAGGGAAAGCAGTGCTCATCTCTGGTCCTACCTTTTAATGTCTGGGGAGGTCTTGCCTGCTTCTTTCCCTTTCTGTCCTGAGAACTTTAAAGGAAGGAGGAAGGACATGCCCTCCCACACTGCCCCAACAGCATCACAGTGGGTTGACAGTAGCATGAGCCTTCACAGTTCTGTTCTTCAGCGTTAATTTGGCAAGGGGACACTTTCATCCCCACCTTTGCTGATAAAGTCTTGTCCTCGGTTCAGTTGTAACAGTTATTTTTCTTCTTAGTAGCTGGTGCTGTGCTGTGTTTTTGACTTTAGTCTGAGAACAATACTGATAACACACCAGTATTTTAGTTGTTACTAAGTAATGTTTACCCCAATCAAGGACTTTTCAGTTTCTCATGCTCTGCCAGTGAGGAGGGGCGCAAGAAGCCAGGAGGAAGCAGAGACAGGACACCTGACCCAAACTAGCCAAAGAGGTATTCCATACCACAACACATCATGCCCAGTATATAAACTGGGGGGAGATACTCGGAAGGGGCAGGTCACTGCTGGGTATTGGCCGGCAGGTGGTGAGCAATTGTATTGTACATCACTTGTGTTTACTGGGTTTTTTTTCCTTCCCCTTTTAGTTTTACATCCTCTCTCCATGTTATTTCCCTTATCATTATTACTGCAGTATGTTGTAGTAGTAGTAGTATGTCATTGTAGTAGTAGTAGTTTTGCATTATAGTTTAGTTATTAGACTGTTCTTATCTCAACCCATGGGATTTATATTCTTTCAGTTCTCCTCCCCATCCCTCCAGGAGCAGGAGGGTAAAAGGGGGGAGTGAGTGAGCAGCTGCACAGTTCTGAGTTACTGGCTGGGCTTAAACTACGACAAGTCTCCTTGGGAAGCTTGGTTGATAACTTGCAGAAACAGGCATGTGCTTAGGAGCTTCCAGACTCAAGCAGTTTTTTCAGGGTTAGAAAGAATGCCAAAGCTTTTATTTAAGAAGGGAGTGTCTCATTTTTCTTCTTGAGGGCATATACTCCAAATTGTGGGTCAATCTACCTTTCTTTCTCTCCCAGGGAAGGAACTGCCATGCCCGTGGGAATCTTCCGGGTGTGCCTAGTGGTGATTACAGCTATCGTCAACCAGCCGCTCCTCTTCCCTAAAGAGAATGGCACTGTCCCTGAGAACGTGGAAGAAATCATCCAGAAGATGAAGGAGCGGGAGGTGAGCCTTCGGCTGGAGCAGTTGCGCTTGGAGCAGGAAATTGCAGACCAGGAAGCCACACAGAAGGCTGTGGAAAATGCTGCAGAGGTAGTAGAGGGAAGTAAAGAGGAAAAGGTCCGATGGGATATGTGGACTGCCCTTTCCATGGTCATCTTCCTGCTGATCGAGCTCTGGAGGCAGGATTTCCAGGAAGGGAATTGGCAGGACACAGGAGGAGAAGAGGATGACATGGCTGTCCTGGGGAGAGCATTTAAAGGAGTGTCCTTCCCTGACAAGGCCGTCTTGGCCAGCTTCTATGAGAAGCGCATTCTGGGTACCACCGGAGATGTGGCCAGGATGCGGGAGATGGTGGAAGGCTTTGCAGATGACCTGCTGGAGGCCTTGAGGAGTGTTTGTAACCGGGATGCTGACATGGAAGTGGAGGACTGCATGGGTGTGGGGAGCATGTATGAGAATTGGAGAGTGCGTAAACCTTTTGTCTGTGATCTGATAGTGCCTTTTGCTCCCCCCGAGCCATACTGTTTTCGGTGCCAGGCCTGGTGCTCTAGCGACTCTTCTCCCCCAGATGAACAAGGTTATGGCACTATCAAGGTATGCAGGGCAGATGAGGATGTGACAGGTTGCATCTGTGACAAGACTAAACTAGGGGAAGATATGCTGTGCCTCCTCCATAGCCAAACCAATACTACAAGGCCTAGCAGTGAGATGGAAGACCTCCTGTGTTTTAAAAACACTCAATATCTGGATGCTGATCAAGTCATGAAGTGGTTCCAGATCGCAGTCACCAAGGCCTGGAACAGAATCTCTCACAAGTATGAATTTGACCTTTCTTTCAGCCTCCTGGACTCGCCAGGAGCCCTGAAGATCAAATTTAGATCAGGGAAATCGATTGCCTTCAACCTTACCCCTGTGGTGCAGTACGAGAACTCTGACGTGTACTTCATTTCTCACTTCCCTCGGGGTGGCCTGGCAGCCGAGCTCCCCTCCAGCACTCGCTGGTTCCTCACCTTTGCAGTGTATGAGAGGAGGTTCATCCAGCTCGTCTCCAAAGCGCTGCCTGCCAATGCCTGCCATGTCAGCTGCCTTCAGATCCTCTCCTTTGTCCATGGGAAGCAGTGCAGTCTCACAGGTCCAAGCGGGCTCAGCAACTACCACCTAAAGACAGTGATGCTGCATCTCCTGCAGGCATGTCCCAGTCAGGACTGGGCCCCAGAAAAGCTGGAGGCCCGTCTACAGGACATGCTGAAATACCTGGAGAAATGCTTGCACGAAAAGAAGCTCTACCACTTCTTCATTGGCAATGGGAAGGTACCAGCAGAGCTGGGCTTTCCCATCATATTCCAGAGGGCTGAGCCTCTGAACCTTTTCCGTCCCTTTGTGCTACATAGGGACGTTTACAGGAAGACAGTGGACACGTTCCATGAGATGCTCAGGAACATGTCTGCACTGATAAATGAGTACACAGTGCACATTCCCCTTGCACACACCAATGGGATCCGTAAAGAATCCCTTTAACCAAAGCCAGCGGAAGAGCACTTGTTCCTCTAAGCACAAGTCCAAAGGGCAGCTTTCTGAAGCCTCCTGGACACAACTGACTTTGCCAGTACAGCTTCTTGTCCGCAGCTGAACCGGTCCTGGGCCATGGTTTCTGCAGTAAGGGAGAGGGGATGGGGAAAGGATAGGGAAAACTGGAAGATGTGGTATAAAAGTAAGGTTCTGCTCCACTGGTGTGCTGGCTGGGTTTGATGCAGCTAAGAATATATTTTTCTATTGTGCCTCAGTCACACTGCAGTGGTGGTGAGCAGCAAATATGACTAATTTATTCAGATGCCTGCAATGCAAACTGTGGTGGTGGTGGCCAAATACTTCATTTCCTTTGGAAAGGGGAGATAAGAAAAGGGTGGAGGAATCAGAAACAGGATCTTGGGATTGCAGGGGCCTGTATGCTTGCAGACAGCAGCCTCCAAGCACAGTGTAAGACTCAGTGCTGATGTGGGGAGGAGGGTCATGCACAAGATCTGGACTGGATTGAGATCTTTAAGTCAACCACAGCTCTTTAATCAGAAGGGAACTGTAGTGATAAAAAAGTGCCTTCTTGATAGGACTTGTAGTAGTTTCAATGGCTTGTCCTGTTGTTCAGAAGCAGCCCTACACTCTGCATGTTTCTCCTCCCTGGGGAGGATGTAGCAGAGCAGGCAGCAGGGCCTGTGCCTTCAGGCCGTTTCATTGAGTCTTCCCTTTTCTTCATGGTAACATGGCTAGTGGGTTCTATTCCTGGCCATTTTCCATGGATGAATGGACAGGAACCTTTTCTACCTTAGATAAAAGAGCCATTGTTGGGTTCTGGTGTTTTGGTCTGTTTCTTTTCCTTACCTCAGGGCAGCAAGGCCGAGAACAGCCCAGAGAGAAAGGACTGCTGCAGGTTTTGCTTTTGTAAAAGAAACAGTTCTCCAAAATTATCCTGTAATGAAGCCAGTCTCGGCAGTCTGGTAGCAGGAGGGAACAATCACCCTCTGAATGAGAGTGTACCTCTCCCAGCATGGTTTTAATGAGGCCGAGGCCAGCAGGATGGGCCTGAGTTAGCAGGAGGGGTTGAAGGAGGTGCACTTGCAGCAGAGCTTGACAGCGCTGCCTCTGCAGCTGCCTTGTGGTCTGCATTGCATTGGCAAAAGCTTGGGTTTGCCTCCATGTAGGGTCTCCTCAGTCCTTTTAAAGACTGCTGCTCTGACGAGGCTCTGAGGAGCTGCTGCTAGCGGGCTAATTTGCAGGAGCATGGTTGGGAAATGACAGCTTCTGCAGGCTCTCCAGCCAGGGGAGAGTCTGGAGTAATGTGCTAAAAACCCCAGGGCGCAAATGGAAGTGCCCGAACTCCCTCAGGAAGCTGCTTGTTAGTGCAGTGCCAGTGGGCTGCTCATCCCAGGGAGGTGGATTTGCTAGAGGAGGAGGCTGAATAGCTCCTCACCCTCCTTCATGTGCGTCATGCAAGATCCAAGCCAGGGCCTCAGTGCAGACCTGCTTTGTGCTGGTACTGGCAGCCTGGCCTCCAGTGCTAAGGGCCTTTTCTAGCATTTTCTTACATTAGAATTTCCTGCAGTGTTTTACACTAGGGCTTCTCTGAACCCTCCTTTCAGGAGGGTCCTTGTTCTGGGTGGTGAGACCCATCAGGGATGACATTACCATCACTCCACAGGTCACTTATAATGAACTGTCTCTATCACATGCATAGAATCATAGAATAGTCAGGGTTGGAAAGGACCTTAAGATCATCTAGTTCCAACCCCCCTGCCATGGGCAGGGACACCTCACACTAAACTATCTCACCCAAGGCTCTGTACAACCTGGTCTTGAACACTGCCAGGGATGGAGCATTCACAACTTCCCTGGGCAACCCATTCCAGTGCCTCACCACCCTTACAGTAAAGAACTTCTTCCTTATATCCAATCTAAACTTCCCCTGTTTAAGTTTGAACCTGTTACCCCTTGTCCTATCACTACAGTTCCTAATAAAGAGTCCCTCTCCAGCATCCCTATAGGCCCCCTTCAGATACTGGAAGGCTGCTCTGAGGTCTCCACGCAGCCTTCTCTTCTCCAGGCTGAACAGCCCCAACTTTCTCAGTCTGTCTTCATACGGGAGGTGCTCCAGTCCCCTGATCATCCTCATGGCCTCCTCTGGACTTGCTCAAACAGCTCCATGTCCTTATATTGAAGGCATAAGAAAAAATTTAATCCTGTTACCACTGCTAGGGACAGCATACAGCATGAGGCTTATTGCCCAGCCTGTTGATAAGCAAACTCCCCATAGGCATGTCTTCTCTTCCCTTTTCCTGGTAGAAAACGTTTCACCACCTCTTTGATGTCTGCTCATTTGTGCCTCCATCAGTGAGGAACATTTCATGCACAAAGGCAGAGAAAGCTGGAACTCCTCTTTCCACACCTGGTTTCTAAGAAGGGGTCAGGGAATCCTTTACTCAATTGCTGCTCTCCTTGGATTTTTTTTTATCACAGTTACAGGGTGCTTAAGTAATATTCTGGAGCAGAAAACAAGGGGTAGGAAGCAAAATGGAAGAGAAGAGGCTGGTGGGTTATGCCAATAAGAAAGTCTTGGATCATCAGTGCTTGCTTCAGCACCCTTAGTGATGAGTGCCTGGGAGGCTGCCAGGGCTAGCAGAGCTACAGGGCAGGACTAATTGCTAACGCTAAGGAGTGCTGTAAGCCCCTGGCTTTCATTAGCACACCCAAGCAAGCCTTCCCAATAGGACAGAGCGCAGGAGCAATCTCAGGGGACATGACAAGCAGGTAGTGACAAGCAGAGGTACAGGGAGGGTGGGTGAATACTGGAGCCTGGAGGCTACGTTGGAAACTGTAGAAGTTGTTTGCAAACCCAAGCAATTTGCCGTTTTTACCTGCCTACATTTACTGCACAGTGCCTGTAGCAGATCCAGTTTTGCATGTGCTGCTGGCAGGCAGGTCGTGCTCAAGCAGTTGTGGTCAGAGTTGCTTCTAAATGTGTTCCCAGGCCAGCCAGAGAGAAATAAAAGTTTCTTTGCTGTTTCCTGGCAGGGGTCTAAATTTGGTCTGTGCAAAGAACAGAAAGAAATTTGTGACCCAGGTCTCTCAGGAAATGACGTTCAGGGTTGAAAAATAACTTTTATATAAGGTTGAGCAGGGGGAGGGTGAGAAGAAAAGGCTGTGGAACAGAACAAGGCAACTCCCCTGTTAAGATGTCAGAACAAAGCTTTGTAACTCCAGTCGTATGGGCTTGCAAACGTGCCTAAACTCGTCTTTACACAGCTCCAAGCACTGCTGCTCAGACTCAAAGGGAACCTAAACTGATAAATAGATAGAATCTTTTGTGCCTGCTCTGCCTTAAGCCCAAACTAACCCTGAACTGTTCCCATGGGGTTTAGTTGAACCCAAGCTGGAGCTGAACCAAGGAATTCATGGGTTTGATTCCCCTGAAAGCAAACAGCTTGGCTTAGTTTTCCTACATGCAATATGCTCATTTTGCCCTGAGCACCTTTAAAGAGGCCTGTTCTGCGTATTTAGGCTGAGGGAACCCACTCACACCTGTCCAGGGGGAGAAGTGCTCTGTGATTATAAGCTGTGCTCCAGTAAGCCTGGGGCAGAGATCTTCTTTGTAAGCCATATACCAGAATATGTACAAGGGGTATATATATGACCCATCAGACATATATATATGGTGGACAGACACTGGTTTCTCTGGATCAGATGTTTGCAGTGGTATGAGGAGGCCATGATGTGAAGCACACTATTCCTCAAACTGCCTTGTTTCTCCTGTATTAAATCTTTGCCCTATCAGTAAAAGGCCACACTCACATTTCATAAAAAGGCTTATAAGACAGTTTAGCTGTCAGCCAGTAAAAATGTCCTAAGACTTTAGTTCCACCTGTGTTTAGTTCTGCCTGGCCATTTATTGGAAGCATATTGAGGTAGAAGGAAGGGTAGGGGTAGAAGTGGTATTTTATAGTTTAAAGTTAATAAAGTTCTTTATAAACCAAACAGCATATGACACATGAGTAACAAACACAAACCAACTCTTTGATAATGCCCATATCTCCATGAGAGATCCTAATGAAGGGTAAACAGCCTTCCCAGACCCCTTCCTTGTGTCTCAGTGCTGTTCTTGCTTACCCAGGTGAATTTAACAGATGAATTCCTGCTGTCTTCTGGTTTCAAACCCTCCCTCCCTCAAATGTGGTTTTAATATTTTATTATGGACTCTGTCAAAGCAATGGAATTAATGGTGTTTTGATAGCAGCCCCTGATCTACATCATAGCCTCAGGAGCTCTTTGCCTTTAGGAAATGCCTTGGCCTAAGGTTATTCTTGCTGTTCAGGAGCTGAATGTCTTCTAAAGGGAGCTGTTGGGAATTCACCCTTGAGTATGTGGCAACCACAGAACACAGATTCTCTTTCTCAGAGTTGCTTTGTACCCAGGTCTTACGGGGCTATAAAGATGTATTTTAGCAAAAGGATCTAAAATGTATCCAGTATTCAAGCAGCAGGATTTGGTGCTTGTGCACCAGATGTTTTTAATGCAAAGCCTTTGCAATGGTTTCTCTGTAATGAAGAAATGATCCTTTAGCCACCTGTAACAGCTTAGCTGCTGGTCATTGAGGGGTTCGCTCCCATAGGATCCAACATAGTAAATAGCTTTATTTATTACTTGTCTTTTTTAGGATTGGGGGTACTATGTTAGCTCAGAAGCAAAACGGTAGCATGAAGATCAATCTTAGCAATGCAGCTGAGATAGGCAATAACACCAAAACTCCCCAGACTAAGGTCTTTTTGATCCACAATGCTGTACTCGAACCGCTGCTATTATAGCAGGACACTGTTGAATTTATATAGATTTTCTCATGCAGCTTTATTTATAATAAAGGAAGTCTTGTACAAAACTTAGTGTGAAGTCTGGTTTGTTTTCAGTTCCCCCAGAACTGTTTCTGAGAGAGCAGAAGGATGGAGCAGGGATATGCCCAGTGTGATCCTAGCACAGTGAGCCCAATAGCGAGAACACCTTTGATTTCTGACTGCCTGTAGAAAAGGTTCCAGAATAAAATGCAACATGAACATAAAGTGGAATAGCGATTGCAGAATAACACCAGGGATGGATATCTCAGACTTCCCTGAGAACATGATTCCACAGGAATTCAAAATAATTGTTCTGGATAAACCCTTTTGTGGCAAGCCCTAAATATTGCTGGTAGATGTTGCCCTTATTGGCTGAACCAGAAATCTCCTGTACTTCCAGTTCAGCCAGAGGAATCCTTTTTACCTGCTTGTTTAACA